TCCTGGATCAGGATTTTAACAGTCACGTTGCTGCTGAGTGGAGGAGAGCCTCCATCCTGAGCTTTGACTACTAAGTTAAGCTCTTTAATTTGTTCATAATCAAACGAGCGAACCGCACTCAGAACTCCAGTCTCTGAGTTTAGAGACACAAAAGCAGAAGCAGGATTACCACTGACCTGTGTTTCCTCTAACAAATATGATAATCTCGCATTTTGATTCCAGTCAGAGTCTCTCGCGCTGACGGCAAATATAGAAAATCCAGGTGGATTATTCTCCATGATGAAAGCAGAGAAGCAGTTTTTAGTAAATAATGGAGCGTTGTCATTTACATCAGATATTTTGAGATGTAACTTCTTTGAAGCAGAAAGAGGTGGAGAACCAAAATCTGTGGCAGTTATTGTTATGTTATATTCTGAGACATATTCTCTATCTAAATGCTGATCTGTAACTAAATTATAATAGTTTGTTAGTGATGACTCGATTCTAAACGGAAGTTTCCCTTCTACAGAACATTTAATTTGTCCGTTTTGTTCAGAGTCTGCATCTTTGAYGTTTAAAATAGCGACTGTTGTACCAGGAGGAGCATCTTCAGATAGTGGGCTGGAAAATGACATCACATTTATAACTGGCTTATTATCATTTACATCAAGAGCATCAATGACAATTTTACTTGTTCCGATTAATCCACCCTGATCCTTTGCTTCTACTTTCACCTCATATTTCCTTTCTTTTTCAAAATCGATTTCTCCTGAAACAAATATTATCCCGGAGTTTTTGTCAATGCTGAAAATATCAGCAGCACTTCCTTTCATCTGAGACAAACTGTAAGTAATGAGGCCGTTTGATCCACTGTCAGCGTCAGTAGCATTTACAGTAATGATGCTTGTGCCTTTTCCGGTGTTTTCCACCACAGCTGCTTTATAAACAGTTTGATTAAAGACTGGGATGTTGTCGTTTGCATCTAACACAGTTACATCTATGTTTACTGAGCCTGATCTCTGAGGTGTTCCTCCGTCAACCGCGAATAATTTTAAAGACAAATGAGGACGTTGCTCTCTGTCTAAAGGCTTCATCAGCACCATTTTCACATGCTTACTCCCATCGGGATTGGAATTTTGTTGCAGAATAAAATTTTCGTTTGGAGACAATATATATTCTTTCAACGCGTTTTGGCCTTCATCCAAATCTTCTGCAGTCTGCACGGGAAAATGTGCCCCAACTCYTGTTAATTCGCTCACTTCAAAACTGATGGCTTTATCTTTGTTCGGAAACACAGGCGAGTGATCATTTATATCTAATACCTCAACCGTGATTCTGTGCAGCTCCATCGGGTTTTCTAAAATCAGCTCGAAGCTGAAGCTGCACGGTGTCACGTCTCCACAGAGCTGCTCTCGGTCGATTCTCTCATTCACGACCAGGATCCCTTTGTCTGACTTCAGCTCGGTGTACTGAACGTTTTCTCCGGTCACGATGCGGGCCCGCCCCGAGCGGAGCCTTTTCAGATCCAACCCGAGGTCCTGCGCTACATTACCGATGACAGAGCCTTTCCTCATTTCCTCTGGTATAGAATAGCGAATCTGTCCACCTACCATGTTAACAACATGAAGCAGCACAAGCAGTCCAATCTGCGTCTGTTGTCCAGAGAATAATCGCCATTTTAATACCGTCGCCATCATTTAAAAACGTAGTTCAAAAAACTGCGGCGCTCATATTCCAGGAAGAAAAAAAAAGTACACGAGATATTTTTTTCTTGAAAAACAAAATCAAAAAGATAGTTCCACCAGCTCAGATGAAAATCTGTGCAACCGTCCTCATCCGAAATCTGCACAACACACACCCAGCCTCTGACACTGTATATAGGACGGAGAGAATGATGAAGCGCAGTAATTCCATTTGCTTAACCAAGAGCGTCCCTCAGAGTCTAAAACATGAACATCACAAAATATTTTCACCAAACCAAAAAGATGACAAATAAATTGATTTAAACGCAATACATTTGACATTTACACACACATTTAGGCAATTAAACACGGGYCAAAATTGTCAAACTAATAACAGTATTTATTGCATAGCGAATCAGCAAAAGTAAATAGCATTGGCTCAATCAAAATACCGCAAAAAATCAAGGTATTCAGTAGGTTGAGTGAGACAGTTTTAAATACAACAAACTGTTCTAAAACTGTACGGACATCATAACTCCTCGAAAATGACCAAGTCTCAGCCAGTGCTAAATGTGCATCAGCAATGTCCAAGCTATGAGCAGAGGATTTTTTTTTTCGTGCGTGATGTGCAGCGAACAACGTAAATAAAAGGAAATGAGAAAAAAAGGTTGAAAGAATGTTGATTTTGTGCACAATGAACAAGGCAACATGTGCAAAAAGTACACTCTAAATAGAAAAAAAAATAAATTCGGTTGCACAGCGTGCAAAAAATTCTTACATAAATTGAATTGATGGTTTAGGAGATTTAAACAAATACTGATCGCATCAGAAAGGCAATAAAACAGCGAACTACATACTGTTAAGTGAAACATGCAATTTTCCAAAAATATCACCTTCTTGTTGATATAAAAAAACCATGAAGTATTTGTCATGTAAATTGACTTAGATTATTTGTTTAAAAACTACCCGAAAATGTATTTATTTTATAGATTTAGGAGTTATCTTAAAAAATAAATAACTTCCGATGGTTCAAAACAAAACAAACAAACAAACAAAAAAACCTGCTAGTTTAAATTGTCAATATTGATACAGAATAATGCTAACATAATTATAGTTAACACTGAAAAAAAAAGTTCCCAAATACGTTAAGAAGAAAATATTTAAATTCTGAATACGAGTATTATTCTAMGAAAATCACCAATTTTCCCGACGGATGGGTTGACAGACACAATAAAATAAAGTAAAAGAGGCATACCGTGACCAGGAAATTAGGAATAAATATAACAACAATAATCTGTAAAGAAACACGACAGATGTCTAATAATTAGTCTGTGAGATATTTAACCAAGAGTGAAACGTGCTGTCCGTGGTGCTGAAACATATTCTGAGGCACCTAAAAGCCCAGTTTTAATGATATGAAAAAGCTAGTGTAGCCAACGTTAAAAACTAACCTCTACAGGAGAGTCAGGCTGATCCAGGAGGTTCTTGTCACTCTGGATCCTCTGCATGGCTCCTGTAGAACTGGGAGCCATCAACACGTTCTGACTCGCAGCTCCCCCAAACTTACAGTCACTCTTTCTGGAGTCAGTCGTCCTGCACACCTCGTAATTGTACACATGTTGGAGAGTCCCTGTCCCCAAAGTGTCTGAGTAACGTGGTGGATAATATGGAATGACAGGGAGGTTGGAGTGATA